GTGTGTGTGTGTGTGTGTGTGTGTGTGTGTGTGTGTGTGTGTGTCTGCACTAGTTCAGTCCGTGCTCTGGGATTCCAAAACTTGATGCGGAAGTTTTGAGAATTGCTGATGTTAAAAACCACCCGAGACGTCCCTACATCAGGAAAATGAATCTGAATACAAATGCTGTCCCTAAAGCTAATGCAGCATTTACTCTGGTTCAATTTTGTTGTATCAACAGGTTAACATTGCTGTTTACTGGCAAACAGTTATAATGGCTAATATTTACTCCCTGCAGTTTTGATTAAGTAGCAAAAGTATCAGCATTTTTATCACTATTCGAAAATTTTCTCTAGGATCTCTTTTCCATAGACAGCAGTGTTGTTAAATGTTTTGACATTGCAGTTTTACGGTTGCTCAGTCAATTTGAAGATTTTTTTAATCATAAGGAAACGTCAAACACTAGCCTCAGGGTTCAAAAAATGTAAAATCGAACCACACAATTCTGTAGCTTAACTTGCTGTCAAATAACAGACTTCATAACTTTTCAAACCTAAAGGTTGCCCTTTGCAGGGTAGTACACCATATTAACTTAGAATTATCCAAAATAAGTGTTCCTCTTTGCACTTTACTTTTGTTAAAGACGACAGAAGAACAGCTCTAACATTAACGTCAATATGCAATGTTAGAGTTTTCGTGGAAAACCAAAACACGAACAAAAGTGTGAGTCCTTATTAGGATGCTTGGCCGCTACACCCAGCTTACGGGTCAAGCACATCACCAGCATGATCACCGCTGTCACAGTCACCATCTCTGCTTAAACGTGTCTTGCTGCAATGACATCACCACTGCACGCAACCTAAACAGTGGATCACATTGCATCACAACCCAGTCCTGACAGTAGCGTGCACACATCATTACACCATGAAAAACAACACTGTTCACTTCCATGCCCACAGCTTACAAAGTCTAAAGCTTACATGCAGTCAGTGGCTTCTTTAACAGGAACAACAAAGTTGTTTCCTGTCTGTATTGCCACCGACAGTGTAGAGGTGCACTTTCCACGTAAAGAAACGAGGATAAACAAACACCACATGACATGACAGAAAAGGAGAAGCATTTTCTCGTATAGCACAGTTCACTGGGTAATTTCATGTCACAGCTTTTCGCCGAATTAACTAGTGAACCTTGGAGGGCGCACAAATCTAATCGAAGCAACAACAACAACAAAAACAACTGTGGCGATGTTAGCTAAGAATGCTAATCAGTCTCTAACTTAGCTAGGTTTGCTACATGGCCTTCTCTTGATAATCTGCGCACTTAAATAACAGAAGCCGAGAGAGCTGACAGCTGGTTTGCAACGCATTTAAATATGTCAAATTAACGGACTGCTCCCGAACAGCGGTTACTTTGCCTCCTCGCTCAGTACTGTTTACCTTTCTCACGCCTTTGTAGATATAAAAGTAGAGTTCCCGGCCCACATTGAAACAGATCCTGTCGCCGTTGCCGGACTGGTCGTTTACATTGACGAAGGAGACCTTGACGGGATTGGAGCCCTGCGAGTTGAAAGGCACCCTGTTCGGGCGGCTGTATTCAGAGTGAGTGAGGAGTTTGTAGACACCTTCTCGTGTGGTGAACTGAGTTTTAATTTCGTTCATCTCCTTCCCTCCTCCCTCCGCCGCCATCTTGGAAATCGCCGTTCATCCTTGTCCTGGCCCCGGATGTCAGCGAGAGCGCATGCGTTGAACCGTTGCGGTCGCAGCCATGCGTACAGTGAATTATAGAGTCCAGCAGAAAAACAGAAGTGTATGCGCGTGTAAAACGCGATTAATTTAAACAATAAACACATCGACTTAAAATAACTCGCTGTTATTTAATATTTTTTATTGCTAAAATCAATGTTTTTTTTACAACTTTTATGGACCACCAAAGCAATAATAAATTATATTTATTTTGAATGAATACAAATAAAAATTCTATGTAATAATAAGAAAACCTATGGTGAAAAAGCTTTCAATTGAGTATAAACAGAGTAAACAAAAATAAATATTATTAGTAAATAAAAACAAAGGGGGAAAATCTCTCTGTGCAATAAAATCTTCCATAGTCAAGGCAAAGACAGAAAGTTCTGAAATAGAAAACCAAGACTGAAACTCATGGTCACTTCTGTAATCAAAGCACCAAAGTAAGAACCATCCCGGGATGTAAAAACTACCTTCTGGCACTAAGTTTCAGAAACATTGCTATTATTATCATTCTTCCATTTCATTAAAAAAAAGGACTGACTCACTGTCTTACTCAAACAGAATAGTGGAACACCGAGAAACTTGGCTGCTCTCTTTCATCAGTTTACACTGAGGTACATGAGTATTCAGCTTCTAGTAACGTCTGCTACCAGCTGGAAACGTTTCGATTATGTAACTGATCCCTAGAAAGTGCGATACACTGCCCTCCTCTGGTAAGTAAAGCCATTACAGCTCAGATCGGACCAGAGTATTCTAGTCGTCTGTCTTACACAAGTCTGACTTTAATTATTTTTACATGTAAGTGCAGCCTATTCCAAGTGTTATGGGATGAATGGGTTTTTACAACCTCTTGCTAAACCATCACAAGCTCTCATCAACACACTGTGTCTTTGCATACACGTATTAATGTGTTATAGGGAAGCTTATGATTTCTGCGAGAATTTAAGTTTGGCCAATGGCCACAGAGCAGAGTCAAAATTCAGTTTGCTTCACTATAAGTCTCTCTCTATCACCAAATACTTTGGATGGCATATTCTATTTGCAATCCACAAATGAAAATCAGGAAAATAAATGGAAAGTTCTAGACATTCCTAGTAAGTTGGTCTGCAATATGCATTATGCAAATAAAGAAAAGATAATCTAAACTCTGACAATATGCATATATAGATGTGTAAATAAGGCAGCATATGGGTTTACCTCCAGAATTTCTGTTTGGTCAATTTATTAATCAATAAATTTGTTAATAGCCCAGAACAAATTCAGAAGTGTATGAAGGTATGAGCTAAACCAGGCCCAGCCCAGCAAAGACACCACTCCGATTGTGAAATGTGAATGAGTGCACAGATTTTGAACTTTTGACTGTATTTTCATTAGTTTTTACAACTTTTCCTATTGATAAAAATCTCCCCCATAGCCATTCATACTATACCAAAGTAGTTAAGTAATAGATAAACAATTAAATTGCAGAAAAGTTCCTGTTTCTGTGATATACTATATAAATTTGTTTTTGTTTGTTTTTTTAGTTTTTTCTTTTTTTAGTTTTCTTTTCTTTTCTTTTTTTTTTTTTTTTTTACAAGAAGTCCATTTTAAATGTGTTTGTGATGTGGAAAAATTGAGACACACTGTTAAAATCGCATTAAAGACATCTCAGGGATTAAATGTTTAGGTAAATGTCTTTCTCTGTGGGCTGTATGTGTCCCACAATGAAATGAATTTAACATGCCTAATCTAAACTGTGAATGGACAGCAAGTTGCAAACAGCATCCCAAATGGCTTTAAATATGAGCATATGTGGGTGCAGTGGGGCACCATGGCAGCTGCTGATGGCAAAGGCAATGCACAGCTGTGGTGCTGGGTTATGCTGTCTAACAGCTATACAAGCTATCAGTGAAGCTTTCATTGTGACTGACAGGCACTCCTTGTGACTCTGCAACCCTATAAGGGCACACCAACTTTAGAGCTCCAATGTCCCAATCGCAACCCCCTTCCAGACCATTCCTCAGCACCCCCCTGACTGTAGTGAACATACAATCTGGAAGCTTCTGAATGGGAGCTTCGAGAAACCATCCCGTAAGTATAAAAACACGTTGTCATGTTGTGTGGTCTGCATAGAGTCAGAAGACGCTCACTAGAACACAACCAAGAGAGACTTACTGCCCACAGGAGCAGCAGAGAAGCACACACTTGAAGTTCTCCAAGAAGAGAAGTCAAGCTCAGTGATACATTTGTCTACTAGAGGTGACAGAAGACAAAGATTAAATCTAAGGTAAGAATGGAATCAATGCAACAATCATTTCAATTTTAGAGTATACTGGGTGCTTGCACGGTTTTATGTAAAGTGAGTGATTTAATTCACAAGACACTTACTGCTCACAGGAGCAGCAGCCAAGCACACACTTGAAGCTCTTGAAGAAGAGAAATCAAGCTCAGTGATTGATTTAACTATACAAAGTAACAAAAAATAAAGATTATATTCAAGGTATGAATTAGAATTCAAGGTAAGAATTAGAAAATTTAAAACAACTTTTTCTTTTTACAGTATATTGGGTGCTTTTGTGATATAATGTAATTAACTTTAACCTTTACTATCGGTTAGAATCAGAATGGTATAGTGTGTGCTTTTCTATCAGTGTCTAAGTAGGACTGTTACAGGCATGAAGCACATGGCAAGCAAGGTGACCCAAGTATGGGACCAATGGCTTCTCAGAATCTATTCTAACAGCTGATGCAGCACATTTGCATCTTAGCTTAGTAAACTGTAAAGGAATTATTGATTCTGGATTAAAACTTTTGTTTAATCTATGAAATGTTCTTAGAAGGCCTAAAAAATATATGCAGTAGCCGTGACAACAGACTACCCCTTCCTATGCTGAAAATTCATCTTTGAATTTCAAGTTGCTATTTTTTTTAACAAAAAGACTGCACACATTAAAGCTATTAGGGGTTTCCAAAGCATCTGAACACCCCCCCCCTCCCCCCCAAAAATGCCAGTTCTCTGATTGACAGAAGGAACATGTGCGCATCAGCAGGCCATGTGGCTGCCTGAGAAAAACGTAACCGAAGAAGTTCAGAGTAAATAAATTGAAACTACAGGTGAAAATATAATTATTCGAAAACACAAAAAATATAGAGGTACAATTTTAATTTTGTTTTTCTGAAAAATGTTACCCAATATGTTCTCCCCCTTTAGATGCCTGAGAGCTCTGCACACATTATGGAGGAGGAGGTGGAGACCTTTGCCTTCCAGGCTGAAATTGCTCAGCTGATGTCCCTTATTATCAACACTTTCTACTCAAATAAAGAGATCTTCCTTAGGGAGCTCATCTCCAACTCCTCAGATGTAAGGGAAATAAACACTTCCGCATCATGTTTTCCTTTTTTTTTTTTTAATGTAAAACAAGCCCGTATATTTTTTGCCAAAAAAAGTATTTTAATTGAGTTATCTATTCTCGGCAGGCCTTGGATAAAATCAGATATGAAAGCTTGACGGATCCCACCAAACTTGAGTCCTGCAAGGACCTGAAGATTGAAATCAGGCCTGATCTGCATGCTCGCACCCTGACCCTCCTTGACACAGGTATCGGCATGACCAAAGCTGACCTGATCAACAACCTGGGCACAATCGCAAAGTCCGGCACCAAGGCTTTCATGGAGGCTCTGCAAGCTGGGGCTGATATCTCCATGATCGGTCAGTTTGGTGTGGGTTTTTACTCTGCCTACCTGGTAGCCGAGAAGGTGACAGTCATTACCAAGCACAACGATGACGAGCAGTATGTGTGGGAGTCTGCAGCTGGAGGCTCATTCACAGTCAGGCCTGATACAGGTATGTCTTAGTCCCCTCATTTACAGATCAATTGAATCAGTCATTTTAACCCTGTCTGCCACGGTTCTAATTTTGTTGTTGATTTTAGGAGAGCCAATTGGCAGAGGCACAAAAGTGATCCTTCACCTCAAGGAAGACCAGACAGAGTACTGCGAGGAGAAGCGCGTCAAAGAAGTTGTGAAGAAGCACTCACAGTTCATTGGCTATCCCATCACACTTTTTGTAAGTTTTTAATTACACAGTAAGAACAGTTATTCAATCAATACTTGATAATAACCACACATTGACTGTGATAATGGCATGGCAATGCAAAATTATAATATGCCTTTGCATATTTAAGGTGGAGAAGACAAGAGAGAAGGAAGTAGACCTGGAGGAGGGAGAAAAGGAAGAGGAGGTTGAGAAGGAGGCTGCTGAGGACAAGGACAAACCTAAGATTGAGGACGTTGGCTCTGATGAGGATGAAGATACAAAGGATGGCAAGAACAAGAGGAAGAAGAAGGTCAAGGAGAAGTACATTGATGCCCAGGAGCTCAACAAGACCAAGCCTATCTGGACCCGTAACCCTGATGACATCACCAATGAAGAGTATGGCGAGTTCTACAAGAGTCTTACCAATGACTGGGAGGACCACCTGGCTGTGAAGGTAAGCTAAATCTTCTTGTGATGATCATTCTAAAACATATTTACCAACACCAGTTGCAATAATGTTATGCTAATTAATACATATCTACCCCCGCAGCATTTCTCAGTGGAAGGCCAGCTGGAGTTCCGCGCCTTGCTCTTTGTACCCAGAAGAGCTGCATTTGACCTCTTTGAAAACAAGAGAAAGAGAAACAACATCAAGCTTTATGTGCGCAGGGTCTTCATCATGGACAACTGTGAAGAACTGATTCCAGAATACCTCAGTAAGTAACAATGAAGTAACACATAAATCTTGATGCATTCTCTCAAAATTTATAGTTATTAGTAATTGTTTTTGGAACTCAACTCCTGGCTTTGGGAAGCTGACCAGTTTATTTTCCCTACTCAGATTTCATCAAGGGTGTGGTGGACTCTGAGGACCTGCCACTGAACATCTCCAGAGAGATGCTGCAGCAGAGCAAGATCCTGAAGGTCATCCGCAAGAACCTGGTCAAGAAGTGCATGGAGCTTTTCTCAGAACTGGCTGAGGACAAGGACAACTACAAGAAGTTCTATGAGCAGTTCTCCAAGAACATCAAGGTAGGTTCATCCATCTGAATTTCTTCAACTCTAAAACTTCAGAAAAAATGTCTAATACCAATCATCTAGCATGGATTTTAATACCACAAAATGACACGCTGTTTTTTTATGTTTAGCTTGGAATCCATGAAGACTCCCAGAACAGGAAGAAACTGTCTGAGCTGCTCCGCTACTACACCTCAGCCTCTGGAGATGAAATGGTTTCCCTCAAGGACTATGTCTCTCGTATGAAGGATAACCAGAAGCACATCTACTACATCACTGGTAAGTTATTCAGTGTGGTTTATTTTCCTTTGTTTTCAAGTATTCCCCAGTAGTTTAAGTTCATTAAACACCATATTGAAATAACTTTAACAGGTGAGACCAAAGACCAGGTTGCCAACTCTGCCTTTGTGGAGCGCCTTCGCAAAGCTGGCCTGGAGGTCATCTACATGATTGAGCCCATCGATGAGTACTGTGTCCAGCAGCTGAAGGAGTATGATGGCAAGAACTTGGTTTCAGTAACCAAGGAAGGCCTGGAGCTGCCTGAGGATGAGGAGGAGAAGAAGAAGCAGGAAGAGCTCAAGACTAAGTTTGAGGACCTCTGCAAGATCATGAAGGACATCCTTGACAAGAAGATTGAAAAGGTAATTTTTCTCCTTCAGAAAATGATACAGTTATTTTAGTTAACATTGTTAGGGATGGGAAGTTGGCTTGACTGTGTTCAAACATACTAAAAATACTGAATTTCTATCCTGACAGGTTGTGGTTTCGAACCGTTTGGTTGCTTCCCCTTGCTGCATTGTTACCAGCACCTATGGATGGACGGCAAACATGGAGAGGATCATGAAGTCTCAAGCACTGAGAGACAACTCCACCTTGGGCTACATGACTGCAAAGAAGCACCTTGAGATTAATCCCTCGCATCCAATCATTGAGACCTTGAGGGAGAAGGCAGAGGCTGACAAGAACGACAAAGCTGTGAAGGACCTGGTCATTCTCCTGTTCGAGACCGCTCTGCTCTCCTCAGGATTCACACTGGAAGACCCACAGACACATGCTAACCGCATCTACAGAATGATCAAACTTGGTCTTGGTATGTATGTCTTTTCCTTTAAACATTCAGGTAGTAGTTAGGTTATTATACATTAATTGAGGAATTTTTTTTTTAATGGCTGTATTTCTATACACAGGAATTGATGATGATGATTCTGCAGTTGAAGACATAATTCAGCCCACTGATGAAGATATGCCAGTCTTGGAAGGCGACGATGACACATCAAGAATGGAGGAAGTTGACTAAATTATTTACTAGACTTTTTCTGGCTTTCATTTTTATTTTTGTAATTTATGTTCCTAATTTAAATGTACATTATTTTTTAGCAGAATTTCTGTTAGTAAACAATGTGCTAGTCAGAAAAAGTTGACGGAATTAATACCGACCACAGTGGCTTTAGTTTATATTGTATCAGCCACTTATAAAACTTCTGACAATCACTAAGAGTATTATTAAGTCACTGGGGGTTTGGCTTATATCTCTTTTGTAACATTTTTTATGAAAAGCAATCAAATTTGTAATAAAATATATTTTAAAAATGACACCTGCCACTTTTTATTGATCTACTGCACTTTATTTTATCACTTGTTCTTGCTTCCTACAAACAATAATACTGAAAGGTGAAAAGTTGTATTAGAGAAGCGCATTATACAGCTGGCTTACATTTATCAATTACATCGTTTGATTTATCATGTATTCTGGAGTTTTCAGTGAATACAGCATGGTTCATTTTAGTTTCTGCTCTCACATGCCTTACTCATTAGGCTCAGCGACCCCTCCCTTAATCCCGCCTCCTTCTGCCAAGAAAGGCAGAGAGGCATGTACACGCACCATGATTGACAGGCCACCGGGCCAGTGAGTGGCCACCACCGAGCAGGAGGATTCCAGACGGTTCTGGAAGCTTGTGTCAGGAGGATTTCTCGAATGGTCATAGAGGGTATAAAAACCGCACCGTTACACCAGTTTCCATAGGAGCATTAGGGAGCATTAGCAGTCAACGAACCTGCGAATAAGGAAGGATCTCTGCACATCTTCCTCAGGAGTTTTGGGCACACTGCAAACCAAGGTAAACACATTAACAGCCTTACCACAGACATTTGGGATACGAAAATATTACACTCCCTGAAATTCAGATTTAATAATACTAAATGTTAGCTTATTTGACATTAATTTATAAACAAAGCTGACATTTTTGTCATGTCTGGATAAAAAGTGAAGCTAAAGTGAAGAAAGGGTGAAATCTAGTTACAGCACTTGGTCTTTAAAAACTGATTAAAAAGTATTAATATCTGCTCTGAGAATATTAATGTCAGCTTCATAAACGGTAATAAGAATTTGATTCCTGTTGTGCCTCATTTCAGACTTCAAACCTGCGGGACAGTAGCCACATGGCAGGATGCTTTAGTGATGCATTTGGGAGGAAGGTGTTATGTTAAGCAGGGGTTTAACTGTTTGAACCTTAATCAAATTTCCTGTGCTAAAATTTCTGCAAGATTTTTTGGGCCACCTTATCCTTGTACCAGGTTTTAATTCAGTGCAAAATCAGTAGGTACAGAGTGTGCATTCTTATAATCTCGTCAGCTGTATGAGAGGCGGAGCTTTTGATTCCTATGGAAACTGCTAGAGAGTTCTTCTTGCCTCCTCGTACCTTCTAGAAACCTGCACTTCACCTTTGAAACCAGCAGGTGGAGTCATTTCTGCTGACACGGATATGCAATTCAAGCCACGTGTTTAGCCAATAACCAAGCAGAGATTAAATTCACAGTCCAAGAAGGGAAAAAAAGGTCCTTGTACCTTTTTAATACAAAATTATGAAAGTAAGCAAGAAAGAAATCCAGGAAAGTCACTATATACTACACATCTACAGAGAATTTGCTTTCGTTTGAACTGCTGTTAATTCCTTAATGTAACATCGAGGCTACTTAGTAAGGATAAGCTGTAACTGAAACATCTTACATAATGATTGGCAGTGTTTTTCAAGTGTACGTTGCTGGGATGCAAACATTTAGTGTAATAAAAAGAGTATTTTATATTGTGTTCCAATCACTTTAGTCAATGTGTTTTCTAAAAAACAATATTTGTTCTCCGTCTTCACTCAGATGCCTGAAATGCATGACCAACCAATGGAGGAGGAGGCAGAGACCTTCGCATTCCAGGCTGAGATTGCTCAGCTTATGTCCCTGATCATCAACACTTTCTATTCCAACAAAGAGATCTTCCTTAGGGAACTTATTTCCAACTCCTCAGATGTAGGTTTTCAATATTAGTCTGTGTTGCTGTCTTTATTATTTAAAAAAAATAAATAAATTACATGCTTTTTTTCCCTTAAGAAATTGAATTATATTATTATCAATACAGAATAAATTCTGGAATTTGTTTAAACAATTAACATTGTGTTTTGCTCTGTCAGGCACTGGACAAAATCCGCTATGAGAGTCTCACTGATCCTTCCAAGCTGGAAACTGGCAAAGACCTCAAAATTGAGATCATTCCCAACAAAGAGGAGCGTACTCTAACCCTAGTTGACACAGGTATTGGCATGACCAAAGCCGACCTGATCAACAACTTGGGCACAATTGCAAAGTCCGGCACCAAAGCGTTCATGGAGGCTCTGCAGGCTGGAGCTGACATTTCCATGATCGGTCAGTTCGGTGTGGGTTTCTACTCTGCCTACCTGGTAGCGGAGAAGGTGACAGTCATTACCAAGCACAACGATGACGAGCAGTACGCCTGGGAATCATCTGCTGGTGGCTCATTCACAGTTAAAGTAGACAACTGTAAGTGTCTACGAATTTGAAGTGAATTATTAATCATTTAACCCAGTGGTTATAAAGTATACTGACTTATAGTCTTCCTCTACAGCTGAACCACTGGGACGTGGAACTAAAGTGATCCTGCACCTCAAAGAAGACCAGACAGAATACCTTGAAGAGCGAAGGGTCAAAGAGATTGTTAAGAAGCACTCACAGTTCATTGGCTACCCTATTACGCTATTTGTAAGTACTTAAGTCATATTTAATGATCCCATAGAAGAATTAAATTTGTAACTATTGCAGATAGCTTCTGCACTTTAGACTTCTGAGAAAGTTGCTCAATAAATCTCTGAAACACTGATATTATAAAATAGTGACTCCCTAAGGCCAGGGCTGGATTGGGACAAAAAATTGGCCCGGGCATTTTGACTAGAGACCGGCCCACCAGGTATTATAGGAAAAACCACAAAACCTTTGAATGAAAACAAACGCTGTTGTGACAGTGATGTACACCGTCTTGTTGGTATATGTATGATTTCAATACGTTGTACATCAGATAAAAACTTTGGTTGTAAGATTCAGATAATTATTTAATAAAAGCTAGATATTTTAAATGAGAATAAGAAAGAAAAGTATTTCTTTGTGCCCCCCT